TTCTGGGACTATTTCATGTGCATTAAATTTTTTCTCCTGTTTTGCAATAATTATGTTTTTCTTATTTGACTTCTCTCTTTGGGGATTTCATGCATTTTCATAACTTAGTGATTCCAGTGGGAGAGAGCCTGTCCAACCTCGAAAGAGAGGACACATCATGGGGAGGGTTTGAGGGGAGGGGAGGGTGTAGCCGCATCCTGGCATCTCCTTCCCTCACTGTCGTCACACTGAGTCTGAGTGCTCACCGACAGCTGGCCAGCGGGTGACAGTGTGCTTCCTTTTCCAGGAACACTCACGGCACACGTGGTTCCTGGTCAGACCATCTAATCAGGCAGGGAGGTCAGCCCAGGAGCACAGTCCCGACTCCTGACAGGGCCCCTCAACCAGACACAACAACACGGCCGAGTTTGGCTCTTGCAGTTGGTTCAAGCAGAACTCGAATCCCAGCTTGCTGGTGACCAGTGTGAGAGTTGCTGTCTCTGGGAGTTTTGTTTCCTTGACTGTAACATACGGATCATAAACACCTCCTCTGAGGCTGGCTGTGGACATGGCGTTGTCTGAAAGCTCAGAGCCCTGTGCCGGTTGGTGTGGGCAAGGGAACCCCAGCCTTGCTGTGAGAGGGGCAGGACCTTGGTACCTTTGTTCATCACGTCTGCAGCAGGAGGTAGGGAAGGGCCATGAGTTTAGGTTCCCTCATGGGCAATAGGAATGATCTCAACTATAAAGTCAGAAAGAGCAGAGTTAGAAGTAGTTGGCCCATTCTGGATGGTGATTTGGTCAAGGACTTTCTGCAGTCAGGAAAGGTTGGGAAGTGAGTCAAACGTCAGGAGAAAGCCATGAGGGCCATGAACGCAGCACCCTGCCTGAGTTCCAGGACCTCGCCAGCCTCTGCTGTTTCTGGTCTTGTACTTTGAGGCTTGTTTGGAGAATCAGATTGTGGTATAGTCGACATTTAATTGCCGTTTTGGTTAACCGTGATGTCCCAGCGTTGCTCTGATTTTATAGGCAGGTCACGGGAGGCAGTGGTCTGGGTTTGGCTGTAGCGAAGCTGCCAGCATCAGAGGGCAGAGTCCAGACTGGAGTGCTGGGAGCTCATTCGTAACGGCTGTGCTTTTGAACATGTCATCAGCCCAAGGTCACCTTCTAGGTGTGGCAGTTGTATCCATTGGGAAGTGTAGCTGCCCATCTGACACTGGGGCCCCGAGCTGTCCCCTCCACCTGCCCAGCAGTGTGTGGCAGCCCTGGACATGCTTATCTCCATCCTGGTGTCCGGGCACCCTGTGGTCCCCCACCCTGGGCAGCACCAGACCCCACTGGGCCAGAGCCCTTGCTTGTCTTCTCAGACACACCGAATCTTTGGCAAGAACCAGTTTGATGAAACAGTTCTCTGCTAGAAGGCAGTTGGAAAGCTGTGTTATACATTTCACTTTGTCTTGATTTTTTTTTATAAAACTAAACAAGAAATTGTTGATATTAGTGATCACTGTGTGTTGAGCTCAGCATTATGATGAAGATGACTAAGCCAAGCAGGACAGTGAGACCTTATCCTCCGCGGGTCCCGTGGGCACATGTTGGCCTGAACAACATGGAGACACGAATGAACTCACTTGCCAAATATCTGGAAAGCACTGACCGTGGTATTAGGTCCTGGAACATGTGGGGAGGTGTCTCCTCTCAGTGGGGACCAAAGGCAGTGAGGTGAGCAGGCATTGGACAAGCCATCACACACATATATAATAATAAAAGGGTAGTATGCTAATTAGACCAGACGTCCTTCCTGACGAAGCCGGGGCAGAGGGAAGCCAGCCCGGCTCCCGGGTGCCTGCGGCTGTGGAGGGAAGCTAGTGCTGACAGCCAGGGGAAGGAAGGCCTACTCTTGCACAAATTTTCATGCATCGGGCCTCTAGCCTGAGATAATTGGGCCACCTCTGAATTTGGGGTGACATGTTTGAGTTAAATGGAGAAGCAAGACGAGGAGGGGCATGCTTACCAGCCTGTGCCACCTGGAAGAAGCTACAACCCAGGAGGAGGCGACGACCAGGCGGGGAGTGAAGGAACAGCCATTTCTCCCTCCCGCCCTCCAGTAAGAAAGCACTGGCCAGGGTTTCCAGGGAGCCCCACCCAGTTGGGCGCAGGATGGGGGAGGGGCTGGGATCTGAGGGCAGTCAGGACCAGTGGTCTCATCTCGAACTCACCGCTCTCATCAGTAGAGCAGGGATCCTGGCTCCTGGGCTTTTATGAAAAGGGCATCTGATTGGATATAGCTGCTGCTCCATCCCAGTACTGGGCTGAGCTGGGGTGGGCAGGGCTTTCCCTAGGACAGCCTGAGGGACCCAGGCCAGCAGGTGGGCGCTCCTGTCTGTCCCCTACCTCCACCCATGCTGGTGGCATTCAGAGTACAGTCCCATCTCTCCAAGTGCAGTCACCTCTGCTACTTTCCCCTCCTGAGACCCCTCTTAAAGCATGTGGCCTGAGTTCAGAGAGCTGACCGCAGCACCCGTGAGCCAGGCAAAGCAAAGGCAGGGCCAGGTATTGGATGAAAGCATGTGGGCCATTTCTCTGCAGCCCTCCTGTTCAGGACACTCAGCTCCCAGGACACCCACCCTCCCCCTTTCAGGTGGCAACTCACAGTGTCACCCTCGAGAGCCACCTGCTCCTCTTCTCACTTCTCTCGTCCTCTTTGGAAAAGGTAACTTTCCAGCAGTCACTGTATGAGCACAGCGCTCCTGTCTTCCCTGGAGGTTCTTCATTTCAGGGTGCGTGGCAGGCTGTGGGTCGGGGCACTGCGTTTCCATCACTCCCGCCTCTTCCCCGACTGCGGGAGGCCTGGTCTGCAGCTCGGAGGGTGCTGACGTCTTTGATTTAGTTGTATTGTAAACTGTGGGTGGGCCGCGCTCCTTTGCATGCCTTCTGCGCCCTCCGTGTGAGTTATGGTGGCTTGTTAATGAACGGAGCTTGTTTTGCGGTTGGAATGGCCATCATGTAACCTGATGGCTTCCCAACCACGAGTGGGATGATTCCCAAACTTTGCCGAGTCAGCAGGTACCTCCTGAGTGTTCTCTGCCAGGAGACGTTGCCACTGAGGTCAGAGCCCTGCAAGTCCAGGGACCCCACAGGCAACCTCTGTGGGAAGGGTGGGGAAAACACTCCCAGGTCCAGCTGGAAATCCTGGAAATGCAGCCTCCCCCTCCCCGCCCACCCCCCCTCCCCCACAAGGTTGCCAGTGCCAGGGGCCTCAAGGCTCCCTCTGGAGGGTGAAGAGGCCCTGGCAGGGGTGCGAGGTGAGCAGGTGTGGGCTGGGGGTACTTGGTAGGCCAGCTGGTCAGCTATGCTGAAACACAGAGAGAAGCACGTGGTTCTGGAAAGGGCTGCAGGGGGAGACCCTCTCCAGGACACTCCCATACTCCTTTTCCCTGCTGCCCCATCCACCCTTCTGTCCCAGAGCTCCTGAGATCTGTCTGTGCTTGCACTTCGCCCCACCCCCACCCCCAGGAAGCCCTTGGTCTTCCATCAGGACACTCCCAAGGTGCCTGGCCTCGGGCATCCTTAGGAAACAGCCTGAGAGTTAAGTAGGGGCCATCCCCCCACCCCCCCAACATACACACAAATGGCCCTTGCATTTCCTTTCCTAAGGGACATGTGTCCCTGAGCATGAGTTTGTCATTCACTCTCTGGTTACTTACTCTGACTGTGCTGACTGGGGACTGACCACACAGAGGTCACGTTCTCTGGGCACTGACAGCTCCCCTCTCTCTATCCCAGCACTTGGGTCCTCCTGGGTTTCCCAGCCACTGGAGTTGCTTCCTCCTAATGGCCCATGTCTCCATCAGGGAGAGTTAGGGACCAGCTGGCTGGCTGCCGTCCCCACCCTTCTGTCCTATAGCTACTTAAGGTGTCCCCATGACGTGCTCAGATGGCTGAGCAGAAAATGGGAAAGAGCCACCCTATCTGGGACCCAGGCTCTGATCTTGGGCCAGGGGCAACAGGGCTCCTGACTCTCCAGAGGCTAGGACTGCGGGTGCTGGGGCTCCGTGTGTTGTCACCTCCCCAGGTGGAAGGGAAAGGCCAGGGCTTGGAGCCCTGCCCTCTGTCTCTTGCAGGCCCTTCCCCATCCTTGCTAGTCTGGCTAACCCTGCCCTGGGCCAGGCTACAGTGGAGCGAAATCCCAGTCTTCAGTCTCCAGTAATCTCCCTGAGGAGCTGACCCCAACCCAGGGTGCCCCTGAGCCCTGCCCTGCTGACTTCCCCAAACCAGCCCTCTCCCCTTGCCCCCTCCCTCCTCCCTCAATGTATTATATGTACTTAGGAGTAAGGAGGTGGTGGGAGCTGCTAGGACAGGAGCCTTAGCACGTTAGGAGATGGATCTAGGCTGGAAGGGGACATACAGTGTGCCCTGTTGTGGGATTCTCCATTCCTCAGGGCTGGCCGGACCCACTGGCTCCTTCTAGATTCCTGCTTCTCGGATCCCGTGATGCTCCCCTGTGCTCGGCACTGACTTGTGAGCTCTCAGGCTGCCGCCACCCGATGCCCTCCCGCCGGGCTCCGTTTCTCGTCCCTCCATCTCCCACGGCTCCTCCTTGGCCCCAGCCTTATCTTTACAGCGGTCGTCACGGTCCTCACACCACATGCAGAACATGGCCCTGCTTTCCTCTGGACAGATGGCAGGCGATTTCCCTCCACCCACGACGTCGTGGGTCTGTCACTGAAGGGCCGCATGGCCCCGGGTTCCTCTCATTATGGCGCCGGGTCCCAGACACTTACTTGTCCTGCAGCCATCAGAGGGAATTAAAATGAACAGCCGCCCTGACGTGAGGGGAGCAGGCCCGAGACGCCATGGTTACCCACTCACAGCAGGAAACTCGCAATCAAATTCTAACAAAAGGTCACATTTGCAATAAGTAAAAAGGAAATGTAGGTAATTGGTTCTGGAGCCCGTTAATACCTCTGCAGCCCTGAGAGGCAATCTGATGGACTTGAAACCTTTTTGTTCAGGTAATTAAAAATGAGATTTCATTATATCATTAAAAATGAGGGCACATGAGCTGTTTTCTCAGATTCTATAATGTTATCAAAAGAGGAAAGTAAAGCCACACACTTGGGTTTGGGAGTAACTGTAAGGCAACCAGACTCACAGGGCCCCACACCCTCCTGGCTGGGAAGAGGCAGCTCAGTGGGTGGGGGGGACACCACCAGGTCCTGCTGGTGGGAGAGTTAGACCCGCTGTGGCGTCTCAGGGGAAATTGGCAGATGGGACTGTAAACATCTCATGAGCTGCCTCTGATCCAACGTGAGAAATTATTTGCAGACCCGATGACAAGGAAAAGGGAAGGGAAATAAAAGGTCCACCTCCTTCAGCCTCATCTGTCCTTCCCCAGCAGAAGTAACGTGGGCTGCAACTGCACAGCAGCGGTGTTCGTGGCCAGTTCTATGAGGGACTGCGTGGCTGTGTCCACGGGCCTTACACAGATGCTGCTGCACGTTCTCCAGTGTCACCACAGGCCCCCCATGTGTCGTGGAACCTCATCGTTTATATAAACCAAGGTGAAAGGCCACATCTAAAAAAATACAGACATTCCCATGAATCACCTTTATGTGTGTAATTTTTTTCTTTTTTTCAATCCCAACCATGAAATGTTTATAGGCACTTTTTCCAAACCCTAATGTGGCCGCTTTGTAGAAGCCCGGCGGGAGGCCGATTGTGTTTGAATTGGTGTGTAGAGCTTCACCTTGCTTTGGTGTTCCCATTCCTGCAAAGAAATGACCCGGTGCTGGCTGGCTACTGCGTGCGGGTCGTGCGGGTCGTGGGCACTGGCGACGCTTCATGGCCCCCACGTGCTCTGATGGCCTCAGTCCCACTTTAATCTTGCTCACATGAGGTCCTGCCTGTGTCCTAAAGGCCAGGAGTAGTGAGTCTCCATGTAAACCACCCTCACAAAGGATCAGGAGCTACAAATCCAACCATCACCTTTCATAGGAGATAGCCTTTCTTTCTTCTTTTTGTTTGAAAGAAGAAAAATCACGATATACCAGGTCTTTATTTTTTATGGTACATTTTCTTGGTAAAAATATTCATGAGGCTCATTTAGTTTGAAAATAGATCAGTTAGTTTCCACCTGAATTTTAGGATTAAAAATTAGAAATATTGAAGTAGATTTGTTTTTGCCCTTAACAAAAATACTTATCAACTAAATCCCAATTTTATGTAAATAGAATGCTACACCAGAGAAATTGTGGTTATTTCCCTTATATTTCTCTTCATAATTTGAATTTTCAGCATTCAACCTCATTTTTAATTGAAAAAAAGAAACACTCCATTTAAAGTTTTGTCTTTGTATTTATAAGTTGTTTCTTTAACCAGTGGGTGGAACTAGCTGCCAAGCTTGAAGAAGATGGCAAACTTTACAGAGTCATTTTTGTCATTAAAAACCCCACACAAGTGAATCACAATTTCCCAGTTATTTCTGAGAGACCAGTCGGGAGCTGAAAACCAGGATTACAGGCTTCATTAGGGGAAAAAGACCTGCCGGGCCGTCTCGCAATGGGAGAACAGCAACCCGTGCAAAGGTGAGCACATCTTTTGAGAGGAGGAATGGGAAAGAATGGGGGCTTAGTGTACTCGGCACACGCTGATTGGTGGCTTAATGTATGGTCCATATAGGAATAAGGGCTTAGGGTATTTGGCAGGTGTTGATTGGTGGTTCAGTGTCTAGTCCATATAAGGTACCTGGTTAGTCACTCAGGTATTTCTGGGCTGCAGGTTACGTCATACTCCACCCACCAGTTGGGGGAAAGGAGGATCTATCAATTTCCATTGCCCTAGAGCAGGGGTCCTCAAACTATGGCCCGCAGGCGGGCCACATGCAAATACAAATATTGTATTTGTTCCCGTTTTGTTTTTTTACTTCAAAATAAGATATGTGCAGTGTGCATAGGAATTTGTTCATAGTTTTTTTTAAACTATAGTCCGGCCCTCCAACGGTCTGAGGGACAGTGAACTGGCCCCCTGTTTAAAAAGTTTGAGGACCCCTGCCCTAGAGTGTGTTATTAGTTCCACTGAAACTTGGACTTTGCAATAATAATGTTGATTTGCCGAAGTCTCTGGCTATCAAAACTCCATCCCAGCCAACGTTGGTGCCCACCCCTCCCTAGCCTGGCCACCCATCATGCACGCTCTGGTCTAATACAGTGCCCTCAAGCTGTTAGTTTGTGGATAGAGTCTCCTGCTCACTGTCTTGCTTTATCAGAGGGCTGAGCACTAAGGGGTGGTAGGCACTGCCCCTTCAAAGCCTGGGCTCATGGCCTGCATTTCACTTTGCCACGGAGAGAGGGGGTCCAGGCCTCAGGTCGCAAAGGCTCAGAAGGGCCCAGGAGTTTGGTTGTGCCATGTGCTCTGGCTCATGGGATTCTGGCCAGGTGGGGGCTCTCTGCCCATCAATACATGGATGTGAGGGCTCTGACCCCTGGAAGGAAGGGGTGCCCTTTTAACTTCACCCACTGGAGTCCAAAGAGCAGGCAGCCACCCTGGGATTCAGTGTGCAGAGGTCTGGAGGCAGCTCTCTTCTCCCACCTGGCCTAGGTTTCCACGGACCCCCTTCAGGTGGCCCTGGGTAAACTGGAAGGAGAAGGGGGGCGAGAAAGGATTCCCAGGCCTCTGCATTCTACACCTGCCTGACCTTCTCCTGCAGGCCCTGACGTGGGGGTTCTGGTGGAGACTGATCCAACCCCACAAGCTGCTCCCCATTGCCCCTTCCCTCTCCCCACCTGGCTGGAGGCTTGCCTGCTGCCCCACGGGAATGGCTCACTGCCCCATGGGCTGCACAGTTGCTCACATTTCTGCGGGGTGATCTAACGTACCAAGGGCTTGGCCATAGTCTTAAGATTCTTTGCAACAAATACATTAAGTCATTTTAATTAATGTTTCCTTTAACCCAATCTTAAATTTCGAAGTATAAATAAGAGAGAAATAGAGAGGAGGAGGGGAGGTGGAAAAGGGCATAGAGGAGATAAATGCTGATGGAAAAAATAAAAGAAAGAAGTAGGTTGGAATACAATGGTCATCGTGAAAACTCTCTTGAAAATATCTGTAATGCAGAATTATTTGTGCAATACAAGAAACCAGTTTGGTCTGAGCACTTTAAAATTGTGAATGGAGCATTCAGACTTAATACTTGTATGGTAATGGCCATTGTATTTCAATATATGACAATAGTTTATGATCAGCTTTCATATTATCTCCCAATAAAGAGAATAATCCTAAAAAAAAGTAGGTTAGGAAAGAAAAAAATAAAAGAGAAGATAAGTTTCAATGAACAGGCACATCTACTTGGCAAGTTATGTCCACATGTACATATTTAAAAAAAATTATTGAAGATCAAACACCGCTGGAACTCCATTAGCCTGAAGGAAACCCAAGCAAGTAGAGTATATTATATAAAATTAATCCACCTTCCTTAAGCATATTATATTGATCATTTCAAAATGGGAAATAGTCTCTGTGTTAATAAGACTCAGAATCAAGATAACTTGCTGCTTACAGGAATATAATACCCAGTAGGCAACCACCATCATACAACCCTATCCTGGCCTGGTCTGCACAGTCTCCAGGAGATTATGGATTCTGCTAGGCCAGGCACTCACGTCTAGGCAAGTTCCCCTGTTATATGGGCATAGAGTTTCTATATTAGGTCTACTGTTGTCACTCATAAGATCTAAAGAAAATCCATATCTTTTTAATATTAGAAAAATTATTTTTGTTTTACTGTGAATCAAAAAGCCTATTAAAATCAGTTCTCATGTTTCATGTCCTTGTTATTTTTTTACCAGGGAGACTTTGAGGACAGGCAACGTGGGGGGACACAGTGCCTCTCCATGTGGACCCAGGACTCAACCTAAAACAACCAGGGCAAGCACTCGGCGAGACGAGGAGGCCCCGGGACAGGGGCTGGCAGTGCACTGGTCCCCGAGGACCTTGTCTTACAGGGGAACTGGCGAAGTCCAGCTGCAAGGTTTTGAAGCCAAATTCATCTGAATCTAAACCAGCTTGGTTTGGAGTCTCTCCTTAGGAGCCTGGAGTAGCAGCTCCGTCCTGAAGGTGGCTTTCTCAAAGAAACCGATTGGATTTTCCTCTCCACGTGGGACTTCTCTCAACCCATGAGAAGTAATTTGGACAGTGACCTAAATAACTTGTGAGATAAAGAAGGCATGATCGAATCACCGTGGTAACTGCAGCGTGGCTTACAAAGGCATCGATCTCACATGTGACACTTGCGTGTGGAACCACCCGGTTGACTTCTAGGAAGGATGGCACCGCAGTCCCACCTGTGCCACTGGCGGTGATGACAAACCATTTTTGATGGGTGATTTAGTTTTCATGGCGACGGCATTCTCTAGTGTCTGATTAGAGGAGCGGCTCATTCTTCCTATTTTCAAGTGGAATAGATTTTTGAGGAAGATTTCAGCTCACCTGGGGGTTTGGATCAGAAAAATTCTGTGGCTTATAAAGTCATTTGTTCTTTTGCTGTGATTGTATTCACAGCAGAAGGGTGAGCGAAAGGTCAGCAATAACTCTGCTGTTGCATTTTAGCTGGAAAAAATGTAATATTGATCCATAAGAAAATGGAGAAGCTCAAGTGTGAGAGGCCTCACTTGATCTTCTGCGACCTTTCCCCCGCCATGTTGATTTTACGCTTAAATGTTATGTCTCCTCTTTAAAAGGTTTGTCCTGTTTAGTCTCCTATTTAATTAGTAATTCGTCGTCTTCACTCTCTCTAATGTGGCAACAAGATGTCTCCTTGGTTCCTTGTTGGACCATCGTCCTTGCTTGATATTTTCTCTGCCACTGAAACTGGCTTGTACAGAATCCCACCAACGGCACCTGACACCTCTGTCTTCTTGCAGATCATTGGAATAAATAGCAATTTCAGACAAGAAAGCCCCATGCGGTGAGGGCCCATGGAGAGGCTGGCCATGTGCGCTGGGGACGCAAGTCTCAGAGGCAGAGATTGGAGTGAGGTGGCCACAAACAAGAATCACAGGGAGCACTGGCCACTTGCCTCCTGGTGAGGCCTGGGTGAGGTCCTCCCCGAGAGCCTCCCGGAGGAACCAACCCTGCTGGCACCTTGATCTTAGACTTCCGGCCCCCAGAACTGTGAGACCACACACCTCTGTTGTTTTAAGCCCCCTGGTTGGTGAAATCGAATCAGGGCCCAAAGAGCAGAGGAGGCACTGAGGCTGTCTCCATGATAATGAGGGGTGAGGGCAGGCCCCTCTCTCTGTGCCCCTCAAACTCCCCAGTGGCCACATGCACAACACTGCCAGTTCTCCTGGAGGTCATAGGTCACACACAGGAGCTGAGGGTGGTCTGGTCAGTCACCAGGTGACCTCTCATCAAGTGGGCTCATGCTCCAGGCTCTGCAGGGCCTACAAGGCCCTGACACCACCTGTTGCCCTGGAGGGTCCCTGCCCCTGTGCAGACCAGGCAAAGCCCCCCGCAGCACAGGGTCAGAGTCCTGCACAGGGGCGGCCCGTGGGGGTGGGTGGGGGCTGCTCCCTCTGGATCTCCTCACCCCTAGGGGAGGCTGAGGTCCCTTGAGTAGGTCGTTTGCCATTCCAGGAAAATCACCCGTGCTTGTCATCCTGCCATACCCAAGGCAGCGTGAAGTGAGAATTACTGATGTGCTGGGCCTGTGTCGGCAGGAGGAGGGCAGGCGGGCCACGGGCTCAGTGGGTGCGGAGGATCACAGACACTGGCCTGAGGCTGCTGGCACCCTGACTCCTGTGCGGGCCCCTCCTTGCCCTGGCTCTCAGCTCTCCTTTGCGGGCCCTCTGTGTTCTGTCCCTTCTCAGGGGACAGCAGGGGAGGAAGGACAAAGATAAGGCCTCTTGCAGCGGGTTATCTGGTTGACCCTTGGAGAGGCTGAAACCGGAGTGTTGTCATTCTGAGGGCACAGAGGGATTGCTGGGCGGGGAGCAGGCAGGGCCCCGAGAAGACAGCCCAGCGGGGCCTGACCCGCTGTCAGCGCCGTCAGCACCACCGAGGCTCCCAGACACCCAGACACGCTGCCGGGCATGCATGAGTGCGCGCATGAATTTGCCTCTGAAAGGAGCTCGGAGCAGTGACGCAGCCCCGCACAGGGAGCAGCCAGGGCTGGCGCTGGAGGGGAGGGTCGCAGGGAACAGGCGCAGAGAAGTTGTTGTTGATGTGGCGTCCCAAATAGTAACAGAGACAGGAGCCACGCTGCGGGGCAGTCCACGCACAGGTTTCTTCCTCGGCTTTTGCCAGATCCAGAGGCTCTCATTTTCCAGGCAAGAATATGGGATGGGCAGATGCGGCTTCTGAATTTAAAAATAAAGATGCGGTTCACTTTCCGCGGGTTGTGAATTCATTTGTAAATAAGCAGGTTCCTGTGCAGGAAAGACTCCAGAATAATCTCTTTATTACCCCCACAGGCCCCCCCCCCGCCCCCCAATCCCAGAAGCACCAGTGCTGGTTTCATCTGATGGATGGGGGGAATCAGAAGGCAGGTTCTCCCCACACAGTCATTGCTTTCTAAGTTCCTGTGATTGATTTCACAGTCTCGATGAGAGGACAATTCAGTGCAATGGGACAGCCTTAAACAGTGCTTTTCGAAAGTGACTTCTGTGCAGAATTGCCACATGGTCATGTTCACACTTACTGTGCATTCAGTGTAGTTTGGAAGCACCCTAAAATGCATTGTATTTTATTAAGCAACTACACTTGTGTGGCATAATTAATTCTTAAAAACCACTTAACAATAAAATGACTTAGGTTCCTCATTGGGATTATAACGGGTTTTATATCATTATAAAGGTACCTTGACAATATTTTATAAGGTATGTTTTATTATTCAGACCTTACACATGTGTTTCCAAAGTGAAAACAATTGTTCAGGGTCGAGGAGTTGTGATTTACAATCTTTTAAAGAGACGTTTTCTAGATTATAAATTCCATTCTAGCTTAAAAATTTATCAAAATAATAAAAAAATGTAATATCCTGATAGGCAACTTGGGGGGGGGGGAGGGTGTTTTTAACTAATATAAATCTTTAAATTATGTTCTGTAAACTCCACTAAAAAAAAAATGACGAAATTCACATTACCAAGAAATGTGTTTGCTATTTACACATAAGAACAGTTGTGTCGACCAAGCCCTGGAATAATGTGGGAACATGGCGTAAATCCTTAACCATTGTAGGAACATTGATAAATTTAAAAATAGAAATGGTAGTTTCTGTTATGATGCGGGGAAAATAAACAGTGAGAAAAGTAAACCCACACACTGACAAGCCAGATGCCCCACAGTGTGGGCCGACCATGGGCACCCAGAAATGAGTGGATGCATAGTTCAACCTGAGACGCTTTACTTCTGTTCTCTGAAGGCTACGCATGACAATTCAGTGCTGTGTGCCCTTATGGTGGTATTTTGTGTTTGGCCCGTTTCTCTGTGAATCCTTGCTTTTATACAATAGCTCCGTAGAGAAGCAAGACATTAGGGCAGTTGAATGGAAATGTAGGTCTCTGGGCAGTTTCTCTGGCCCCTCCTGGCTGTATCTCTCTAGTGACTCTCTCTTTCTCCTTCTCCCCCAAACAGAGTGGCTTTTGCGTTTCTACTTATGGAAGCAGTAAGATGGCCATGTCTTTTCCAGGGGGAGTAGGAGCTCATGAGATTTGATTGGCAGCTGTAGGTGCAGAGCACCGATGTCCATGTCTCGTGCTAGAGCACATGCAAAGCTGTGGCCAGAACCCTGGAAGGTGCTGAACCAGTGACCTACACGCCTTCATCCACTGGGCGCTCCCATCATTGCCCAGGTGCTGAGCCAGTTCTAAACATGTTCTGGAAATTCAGAGAACAAATAATCCACAGGAATGTCCCTCTCTCTCCCGGTGCTGTTTGCTTTATATCACTGTTCCCTGAAAAGGGGAGAGGTGGTTTTCTAAGTTTGAAGAAGACACCTGCCCTGGTAATAGGGTCCCTGACCGAACGGTAGCATTGCTCTAGGTTATTAATAATTACCCCACACCATCTTAGTTGATCTGGCACCTTCCACTTCCCAAGCATATGAACTCTCTCTTTCCTTAGGTTGCTTTTTGCAGTTATTCCTACAATAGCACACAGCTTTAAGGTCATGGACTAAACCACTGGAACCACGCCCATCAAATCCAAGGTGCTTGAGGAGTGAAGGCCTTGACTGCATCAGTCTGGGCCAATAGAGGTTTCCTTTGTGGTGTCTGTTTTCTGACAAGGAGCAGAGTGGTGGATGCAGATGTAAGACTGAAGGCTCCCCCAAACTTAACTTTCAGAGCTGCCATTTGTGAGATATGTGAAGTCTTCTGGAAGATGCACAGAGCTTCCCAGGGTTTTCCAGTTCCCTCAGAGACGCTAAGGACCTTCCCGTGCTCCCACCTGTGTGACCCCCTCCCCTCAGTGTGCATGGGAGCCAGGACTCCTGTTTGTCACGCTGAATAGGATGCATGCACCATATTTGTGATTACATGTGTGTAATTACACTGCATGACCACATACACGATGACATTGTGTGATTGGCTGCTAGGCGGTAATGTGTATGTGTTTACATGGAGCAGTCACGTGTACCTGATCACACATGCACATGGTTACATGACTGATGATCTGCATAGTAGCATGAACATTAGATGCACATGATTGTCTGCACATGGTAGCATGTGTGATTACATATCTGTGATTACATGACATAAGATTGTCACGAAGTCTTGTGAGGACACTCTCCCTGCTGGCTCTGAGGAAGTTCCAGTAGCCAAGACCCGAGGGCCCAGCATTCAGTCCCTACAGTTAGTCCCACACGTGCACACTTTCACGCACACACACACTTGTTCTCACACACATGCTCACACATTCTCGCAAACGTGCACACACTCATGCATACTGCCTCTCACACACATGCACTCTCTCACGCTCACTCACCCAGCACTGCACAACTCGCAAGGACAGATGTCACTGACCTCTGTCTGCAGAAGTCTGGACGCTCAGTCCTGATCCTGCAGGGTGGGTTAAAAGGCCAGTTTCGAGCCAGATCCAGAAGATTGTGCTCGAGAGGGGCAGGTCTGTGAAAAACAGACAGGGCTCTTGCTAGTTTATGAGCAAACTTAATTACTTTTATAACACAGATGATTTTCTCGGGGCAGCCAAAGGTGTGAGCTAGGAGGTACCGTTCAGCAGGCGCTGGCTAGCATAGACTCCCATGGTGTCTGGACACAGAAAATCTCTAACACTTGTGTCACCAACTCTTTCATTGTTCAGATGGACTATGGGATGTGTGTGCGTGTGTATGTGTATGTGTGCATGTGGGAGCTGTGCTTGGAGTGTGTCTGAGTCTGTGAGTGTGTGCATGTGAGCACATGCATGTGTGTGCATGCCCTGTGAATGTGTGCACATGTGTAGCCACATGAGAGTGTGTGTGTACATGTTATTGTGCATGCATGTGTAATCACACTCTATGTGCCAACGATTGACCAGGTGTTTGATTCTTGGGTCCATTTGAAGGCTGTGGACTAAAGGCCAAAGAGAGGAATTGAAGTGTGGGCACAGTGGATGTGCTAGAATATTCTGCTGCTGCTCTTGGGCTCGTCTCCCACTTCCCAGGAACCAGCAGGGTCCCACAGAGCCCAGGCGGCTCTCCAGTAATGCCAACTCCACCTTTCACCACTGTCCATGGCTGCCCCTCATGT